GTAGGGGGTGATGTTGCTGTAGTCGAACGGTGAGACGGACGTGTAGTTCAGTTTTGGGCACGCGTACGGTGCTGCAGGGATTATATATAGGTGTAGTAGTACCTCTTCGGGCTCTTGTACACCTTTTTCTTGCTACGTGTGCGTGTTCTTTAGATCCTCAGATGGCTCTAGCACTTTCGTGACCACGGGCCGAGAGTCTTTGCTAGATTTTGGCATTTAGCAACTGGCATACGGTTTAATGTGAAGTCAACAACAACAACAACAACAACAATATCACGTATGACACAAGATAACACACCCCCTGGACCAATTTTCAAAGCTCGATTATGCGACGAAGAGGATGCATAAATGAAAAAATGCATGTTCGGAAAGCTCTAGACCATACAGCTTCGACTCCACCGTTTTCCGCGCTGTAACTCTTTCTGCTGCCGAGAAATCGGGATTTGAAAATCGGTCTAGGGGGTGTGTTATCTTGTGTCATTTATGGTAATAGCTCTGGCAACGGGGCAGGCACAAGTTTCTGCACCTCCGAAACAGCACCAACCATCAACTCTGCCGCTCCAAATCACCAATGGTCGGGCAATCCCCAGCACAATTGATCCGTTTGGAATCATGCACACACGCGTACAATACCCCGTGGACGCTGCAGTCTCTAATGCGAGACGCACGGGTCACGCCGTGAAAGCGAGACCAATCCAGCATGGTTGGCATGCATATGGATGTGCTAGTGTCTGGCGCTGTGCTGGCAGCGAGCTTGCGCCCGCAGAGAAGGTGTAGGCGGGAGGAAGGACCAGCACACACAGACACGCCCTTGACATCAATCACGCACACACGAGTCTTATCCTTACTCTAGCAGCAGGATACTGTTGTGTCGTCCAACTCAATCACCCTCCTTGTCCACAGAGAGAAGCAAGAGAGTGCTCGCGTTGTATTTCATCGGCTCATCCCGCTGAAGCCTGACGTCTTCTTACTGCATTGATCGATTGATCGGCTTGGTTGGCTGGTAAGCTCGACCGCTGCTGCTACAGCAGTAGTTCAAGCAAGGAACACATGGCAATTGAGGCATAAAACAGACGACACACGCACACACACACGGCACATCGCGATTGAGACACATCAGACAACACACGCACACACGCATATGCATTCCAACCATGCTGGGTTGGTCTCGCTTTCATGGCGTGACCCGTGCGTCTCGTACAGACTGCAGCAAGCAGTAATTCAGTGGGTATTGTACGCGTGTGTGCATGTTTCCAAACGGATCAATTGTGCTGGGGATTGCCCGGCCATTGGTGATTTAGAGCGGAAGAGTTGATGGTTGGTGCTGTTTCGGAGGTGCAGAAACTGGTGCCTGCCCCGTTGTCATGGTTGTTATTGGGCGGGAAAATTCGACGTTTGATATAGCGCGCAGAGTTAGTAGAGGACTCCAGAATATCTGTCGTTGATATCTAGTGACTTGCGGACCCCTCGGGGCCATTTTATTTGAGTGTATCTTTTTTGGGTAAGTTTGCCTGCGACCACGGGAATCGACCGCGTCCAGTGTTGGATCAGTACGGACATACGAAGGTACTGGGTAGAGAGAGATCGGAACGGTTTTTAATGTGAAGACAACAACAACAACAACAACAATCCCATGGTTGGGAGGGGCAAGGAATTGGGAAGATTCCTGCGGGGGAAATGAATAATGAAAGGAGCTCATTTCCCGTCAGGTCAGGGTACATTTCCGAAAACAGGGTACAGTTGTTGAGAAAAGTAGTCGCGGCAGGGTATACCCTGCGCCTTTCCGGACGCACCGGGGAGAAAAAGGGCGCTGACCAATGATATGAGTGCAATTGCTGCTGTTAATGACTGCGTACCCAGGTGTGTCGCTTTTAGACCAGGGTATACCCTGTTGTGTCGTTCTCCCTCTATTTGTCAGCCCCCCCGGTTTCCGGCATTCTCTCAGTTTCCATCAGTCTGCCCCAGATTTCTGTTGCGATAACTCTATCGTTCAATGGTACAAACTGCTTGCTACGCACTCATCGTCGCCGAGTTTTATTTTAAGGATAGAACGGCGGGGCCCGTCGGGGATGAAACGTCAGCAGCCCCCCCCTCCATTACTATGTACATGCCTCGGGATACATAGCAGCCGAAGAACCAAAACCCCCTTATGAAATCACCGCTCTTTGCGGAGTTTGACGTACATAGCACACACGCCCGCTTCGTCGCCGCCTGTCCCCTCATGTACCCCCCCCCCCCCCCCNCCCCCCCCCGCTGCCCCGCGCGCGCCACGTCCTTGGGTATTGTGCGCAGGTCGGACATGGAGGCATCGCCTCCTCCGTCGCCCCGCTGACGGTTACGGCGAGCAACGAGTACGGCCGATACAGTGACGCCGCTCTCGCCCTCTACGGGTTCGAGATGGTGGCGGAGCCCCATCGGCCTACGACGCTCACGGCCACATCTTCGGTTGCTCTTGACGGCGGTGTAGGTGGGAGTGGTAGCGGTGGCGGTGTGCGGGGTGGTGTTGATACGGAGTCGGGGTCGTTGTCGGTATTTTCGTGGAAGGTTGTGGAGCTCGACGAGGAGGGAGGGGCCCCCGCTGCTACGATATTCGAGGAGGAGGAAGGGGGAGCCGAGGTCTCCGTGGAGTTCACCAAGCCCGGCGGTGTTTTCCGCCTCACCGTGGAGGAACGGTTACGAGCGGGCGCGGTGAGCCGAGACGGGACTGTCGTTTTGAACACGGGCGAGACTGCTGTCATCGGGAGGGCGACCATCAAGGTGTCCTGCAAGCACGTGCGTCGGGAATTGAGGGATTTGTCTGAGGCGGACCGAGAGGCTTTCTTGGATGCAATGGAGGCGTACTACGCGGTTTCGAAGGAGGACGGGCGGGCCAAGTATGGGGAGGGTTTCTTCGACTACCAGCTTTTGGCGTCGTACCATAGCGCAGACGTGAGTGCACGCATTTGTTGTTGTTTTTGTTTTCGTTGCTGCTGTTGCTCTTGCTTCTCTTGTTTCTGGTACTGCCAACCATGTACTGCAGCTGTGGTGAACTTCTCCGTTTTGTGTTCAGGCAGGTTAAAGACAGTTGAGATGCGCAGCTCGACAACGCTAACCACACGCCTCTAACATGATGTCACCATGGCNCCCCCCCCATTCCTCTCCTCCTGCCGACCCCCCGTATAGTTGAAGAGTTTCTGTTATCACGCCGGGGTGCAGTTCTTGACGGCCCATGCGGCGTTCGGGCTGATGCTGGAGCGATCCCTTCAGAAGATCAATCCGAGGGTGTCGCTGCCCTTCTGGGACTACATGATCGAGGCCGAGACTCTTGGTCCAGAGTGAGTTATGTTCTGTTGTTGCTGTTGATGCTGTTGTTGGATTGATGCTGTGGTCGTCTTTCCTTCCAACGTTTTTGCTCTGGCTGCTGTTGTTGGTATCGCTACTGTATTCGTTTGTTCCTCGTTTTGTGTTGGCCGTGTTTGCAAGGGCGGGTTCTGTAGGGTACTCACAGACCTATACCGGGGGTAATTACCCTCTGTTATTACCCTACAGAGAGGCACAGAGAGTTCTGTATCATCCCCGTACCCTACAGGATTATTCTGTGCGTTCTGT